CTGTATCAGTTGTATTCCAATTTATTACTTTATTATAGATTTTTAAAGTGTTTTACGACGTGATGCCGATAAATATCCTCTTCTAGAAACCACTCTAAGCCTAAAATCAGGAATCCGTTCCCTAACTCTTATACAACTGTTTTAAAGAAACGAAATTAATTTTAAGCTTTAAAATGTTCCTGTTTTTATCCAAAACGTGTGCTTCTTTAAGTCGAAGCACATTCTACCGCATATTCCTAAAAAATATGTTAAAAAACTATGAATTTTTCGTGTTTGCACAATTGTTTCAGTGTAGATAAATTGGCTTCTTTTGTGAATAGTCTGTATATTTCGATGCCAAGCTATGTAAATACGGCTTAAAAATTCCTTCTAGACATTCTACAGATGGCACTAGAGGTTTCTGGGCAAAATGGGGGATGCGCATATATTGTTAAATCAGAGGAAAATATTCTTCTTAATTATTTTGCGCCATTCCGTCAAAACCTCACAATACTGGAGAAATTTGTCTGTTAATATAAATTATGTATTAATATATTAATTATCAAAGAAAATTGTAGAAAATGTTATTTTTTTAAATCAAAACCCAATATTTGATGAGAAAAAAAAATTTGCGAAGAAATGTTCCACTCTTATTTAGACCCGTAAAAAATCAGTTGCCAATTTAAATAAACCTCATCGTGAGTATTTAATAAATAAAAAATTAGATATCCAGATCTTTCATCAACATTAAATTTGATACATCCTAAAATTCATTAATTGCGACTCGAAAGTCATTTTCCCATCAAATTATCCAATTTTCCATATGTAGAATTTATAGCAAAATGCTCTAATGAAATAAATGTCAATAACAGTTTTGATATCAGGGCGTAGCCCCTGGGCCTTGTGGCAAAACGGAAACTGTTTCGAACAGATTGTAGAATGAAAACGCAGGGCACGGTATTAAAAGGCGTAATTTTGGACCACAATCACATCCGATTAGCCCCCCGTTTCGGATTAATTAAGAAGTAATACGGAACTGTGAGGGCATAGGTAAATGGAAAGTGTTTGAAATAGTGCAGTAAGAGTATTTTTCGAAAAATGTTTACAATAAATAAGGATTTTCACATTTTAAAAACGATTTTCGTATGTTTGTAAAGGGTGGAAGTCGGCATTATTTATGTGGATATTTTGCCTAATAAGTAGATTCACGATATTTATCAATTATTTCCTTAATATGGTCAGTTAAAAAAATAGCCAGGTATATTTGACTAAAAATGAATGTTATTAAAGCTATGGTTTTTCGCCAAATATTACCATAAAAACAATGAAAAATGTCGAGGAACTTGGGAAGTAGAAACGCCAATAAAATTTAGAGTAGCGATTAGGGAAAAAGGTTTCGGAAATTTTTCGTGTTATGTAGGAAAAATAATTAAATTTCATAATGTCGGAACATACATTGAAATTGGGAATGGAGTTAAGAAAGAATAAAAAATAAAATTGAAACGAAGATTAAAGACTAACTATTATAGTAATCTTTCTCACCTCGATTCAGAGTTTCAAAATCACAGGGATTGATCAACATTAAACAAGTAGAGATATTTTTGTGATACTCTTAAGTTATAATTAATTAGATGCTGATTGCTGATTTATTTTGGGTCTTCGTCTAGTCTTTTCGTTTCTTAAAATTCTGATTTAATTTCTTGGCTTTTGTACTTTATAGATTCTAAAAAGTTTCATGCGCAGTTTGCAGTTAAACGATTTGTTATTATTATTTTCTTAATGCTCCAAGATACCAACCCTAATCGTTATTAATATTTTCTTTATTTTTCTTCCTTTTGCTACTGATTGACTACTGATTAAAATAGCAATAATAGATACATGTTTTCTCAAAATTTCAGGAAACACTGATTTTGATTGTAATTTTATAGGTCTGGTTCCAAAATCGTCGGGCAAAATGGCGCAAAACGGAAAAGTGTTGGGGCCGAAGTACCATAATGGCAGAGTATGGACTTTATGGGGCGATGGTGAGGCACAGCCTGCCGCTACCCGAAACCATCTTAAAAAGTGCAAAGGAAAACGAATGTGTAGCCCCATGGTTGCTAGGTAATCCTTAGGCAGTATGTCTTATTTCTAACTTGGCGGTAAAGTTCGATAGGAACGATTTGGCAAAATTACTTTTTTCGATGTCTTTCAAGTGTTCAATCAATGGAGCAAATTCTGTCGAACTTTACATGTAGGGTATACATAATATCATCAAATTTGAACGAAAACAGTCAGAGACCTCTATCGATTCAGTCGCTTTGATGGTTGCAACAAGACAACTTGCTAATATCCGCGTCTGAATGCATGTTCAAAGTTCCAAAGACAACGCCACATCTTTCAATAATCGAATGTCGGCTTACTTAAATTGCTGCTCGAGGGCGCCCAGATCATTTTCGTAGCAATTCGTAGTCGAAGTCACGTAGAGTAGCCTTGTAGTTCTGTAGTCCGTAGCAAGAACGCCAACATCAACCGCACTACCGTAGTTTCGTAGCGGGATAATGCGCGATGTTGCCGCATTGGTGATTCGAAATTAAATTTTACATCGCAACTCGTTTCCAAATTTTCCCTTAATAAGCAAATAAGAATCAAAGAGTGCATTCTCTGCTTCCAATTCAAAAGAAACATGTAGCATCAACACCACAAGCCTAGCAATTCGCCTGATTTAGCACCAATAGATTTGGCTTAACATTTACTGAAAGCCACCAATTAATATACAGTACCATCACCATTAGGCAGGTTCCTAACGGTAAATTCTTGGGTCTTTTCACTCGCGATAGACTACGGTGAATTATATTTTTTTTAATTTAATTAAATGGGTCAAACTTATTTATTTAAGTCATATTTAGATCTAATTTCCATTAATAAAATATATTTCGTGGCAATAGACTGGAAAGCAATTAGTAATATTTTCAGTTGGACAAATTAGTTAGATTTATTTTTCTTATTGGTCACAAGCTTTCTGTTAGTGATAGAGAAATTTTTGGTTTCATAAGCACCAATCAGAGACTTATGTTCACTAAATACGTCTTCAAGGCTGTAATATTGGGTGAAAACATCATGCGTGTTTATATGATCAGAACTAAGGTCAAGTAATACGGAAATATTTATGTTTTTACAAGGATTTATGGCAATATCCATAAATCTATGAAATTCGTGATTTAAATGCCTTTACGTTACAAGTTTCGGCTCACTTACAGAATATTAAGTATTATAATAAAGTAAGAGAAATTCTACCTTACGAAGTTTAGCTTTAAAATCAAAGCAGAACATTTGGAATTTGAATGCTGGTTTGACAGTTTCATTTATTTTATAATTGCAAAATTTCCTGGTTAATTTCCTAATACTATTAGCAGAATGCCACTTTTGCAGGATATTATTCATACTTTCCCTATACCGTTTTTTCTTCACCTTAATTTTCCTTAAAATAACCTTCAAAAGAAGGGGTTTTCTACTAGACTAAGCAACACGTGTGTTGAGTATTGAGAGTTGAGTAGAAGTTGAGTTGAGTAGAAGAATGTTGGCAAATTGATTTGTTAATTATCATTCTTTCAGTTCAAGACGGTTTCTTAAAGCTGTATATTTCTTTAAACACATTATTTATGTATCTATATATTTTTTACTAAATGTTGGCGGCTATTTAAGTAACTAGATTATTTTGCATGGAACAAGTGCGATTGATTCAGAAGTAAATGTGGAAATTTAAGTGCGGTAGAGCTACCAAAAAAAAAATAATTCCACACCTTTTTCGGAAGTGGATGTAACATGCATGAATGAACCTGCATGAATGGCAATTTGCTAAAAACAGTTCCATCTAAGCAAGACTCAACAGTAAAACTAACAAAGCATTAGTTAGCAGTAATTGCGGTTTTCGAAAAGGAAGTTCAGCAAAGTATTAATTTTTCCAACACAGGAAATAGTTAAAAAAATACAAACCACGGCTCAAATTTAGAAACAATTTTCAGAAACTCAATACTAACTATTTTTGCAGATACAGTTCTTTAATTTAAATAAAAATAAATATGTAGATTTGTATAGATATTTCATTTGTTATTGAAGTTTTTCAATCCAGATTCTTACGCACTCAATTTAATCTCAATCCAATTAAATTATTAAAAATTAAATTGCTCCATTTAAAATTTTTACTTATATTTGTTTATTTCTTTTTAATACGTTTTCCTGAAATTAAGTTGCATTATTCAAAAATAATCACCAACCAATTTCTTGCCTTGAAAAATGAGAAATACATAAAATTAGGTCTAAAACTTGTGTTTCAACATCCGTATATCATATCTTAAAAAGACAAGATGATTAGAAATACTGAAGAACTAAAGTTTCCGAAAAAAATGCAAGTTTATAAAAATTAAACCCTGGTGGATCCTAAGCAAACTGATTTTGTGGTAGAAACAAAAAAAATATGTAGGGGTAAATAAATTACAAAATGAATGTTCTGGTATAAGAAAAGTAAAATTGACAACCATAGAAAAGAATTTACTATTTGATTGCATTTGCCTGAAATTGCATGAAAATCGGAAAGAAACATTTTTGTAAGAACAAAAAGAAAAAATCAGATAATTTCCTTTTGACTGTCCTTCTGTAAGAAGAATTTTTATAAGCAAAATTGTGTAAAACTGTATTAAAAAATCTCCTACAAAGTTGCTCGAAAATCGGACCTAACAAGGAAACTTTTGTAACGAGGTGGTCAAAAAGGAAATAATCCGAAGAGCAACTACTAAAATATGGTGATTTAAATGAATCAAAAAAATAAGGAAAAAAACAAAGGCGAGGAAACATGGAGCTCATGATGACAAGTGTAAAATTAAGAAAATGAAACATGAATGTATTGAAACTTCGAAAATTAGATGAGCGCATATGAAAAATTTTACAAGTAAGGAAACTAATTTATCAAATTAAACTACTTAATAATAAAGAAAAGTGGAAAATGATGCACTGCTTTTGCAAAATAGAGTGGAAAGCTAAACGCAATAATATTTAAAATCGAGTAGGTACACTTAAAAAGCAATGTGTCCACTAAGATATAACATAAATTACACACTCAATCTGTTTAGATCTTCAATCTTACTAAAAGACAAATAATGCAAAAAAATCAAATGAAGGCTTGTAGTTAATAATACTGTAATAATAAGCGAAGAGGAAGAACAAAAAAACTTCAACATCAGCAGAACAAAGTATACAGTAATAAGAAAATAAAACCGGGCAATATTGTTAGTGAGGAAAGTGACTGAAGCAACAGAAATAGAAAAGCATGAAATAAATCAGTTAATTGCAATGAATGTTTCAGTAGTAAGGGTTTATTGGGAGCTAATTTCGCACCTGGTTGTTCATAAAATCCTTGTAGATTTTTCATGGAGGCAACTCGAATTTTTCGAAACTCTAAGATCCTACACTCAGAATGCCTTCATTAACGGCAGCATTCGTGCAAGTAAGAGAGTTCAATAGCTGCAGCTGCGTACCCCAATTAGAATTGCTTGTGATTCAAATGAGTTTTTTTTTTCAGCTCTAAATCTGTTACTGGCCAGATGTGCTAAGATAATTCCTCAATCCCAAAACACACAAACTCATTAAAGCTGTATTAATAAAGTTGTCTATCTGATGCATGAGCTGGGGAATATTGAAATTTATTCATGTAGTTGCTTGCAATACATTGAAAAACCAATAATAAGCCATATCTCTGAACTTTCATATTATTCATTCGTCGGAAGGTTGTTGTTAAATCCATATAGATACAAATGGCAAAGTTCAGGTTTCAGGCAAAATTTCAGGGTTAAGCATGAATACTGCCATAATTAATGCTACCATTGGCTTCATAACTTGTTTCTTTTTGTTGTTATGGCCTGATCATATACGCACGGCATTACACGATGATAAGGCTTGGAACTAAGCCATTGCTTCAGATAGTCCAAGACAGTCGAAGCTTTTCCGCTGGCAACAACGCGTTGCTTACAATTTTTCTAATTAATGTTACGGCGTATGAATCTAAAAACAGTGCAGCTGCCTCACGACTCACGATTGTGTTGAAATCGTTGAGTAACTATAAAGTATGAGAATGCTTGTTGCTTGCTTGCTTGGCTACCTGTTCGCTTACAACGATGCTCGCGAGAATTATTTTAATGCAGCACTAACATCCGGTCGCATAAACAAGTTTTTGCCACGGTTTACTTTCCATTCAATTTTCTTCTGTTAGAATAGCAGCTTATATTGAAGTATTTCAATCTCGAGCTGAATTGTCTTATGCAATTGGATACGCCTAAGAGCTATTTGAAATTCGCACTTAATAGGGATTATTGAATATGTGATCAATTTCGCGGAAACTGATAATAGTGTTGCAGTTACACTAGACCTTTTCATTGGTTTTATCAAAAAGCCTAATTTTTGAATAACAGCGACAATTTTGTTTTACTACTTTCAAGCGCGTTGAAACACGTCCTTACAACACTAGTGATTTAATGGAAGCAAAATTTGAGTTTCCTTGATTTAGTAGCGAGATTTTGCTTCAAAGGATGCGCTACGATGGGCTACTTATCGCGTCATTTAACTGGTTTTGTCGAGAATTTATTAAATGAAAGTCTCAGTCATTTTCCTAAATATCTAACCTATAGGTACAGTCTCTGGAATAAGACTAAATTGGACTGTATTTCGATAACCTTTAGGTGTGAAACTTAAAAATTCACTCGCCAAACCGACAAAAGTACAAAAGATTAAATAAAAAAGTGTCAAATGAACCAGTTTGGAAAAAGAAAACTCGATATATATTTTTAAATACGTTGAAAACTCATCATGAATCTTGTAATGTATTAAATTAAAATCGTTAAAGTTGAAATTGTTATTGGGGCATACGTTTCGGCAATTTTTTTGTTTCAATTTCAAAACACTTATATCCTTTATTTCTATTTCATCAGTCTCAAACCTGTAGATTAAATATGTACTTGCATAAGATAGGAGGAATATAATGCCTGAAAACGATCCCCATTTATGCAGTGCGCAGCGCAAGCTAAAAGAATTCGAGCAAATATGACTTTTTCGTTTTTCCGTTGAAATACTTTCTCCCGGAAATATCCAGAAATCGGTGATAATTTTCTTAATAAAGCTGGCAATATTTTTGAGTGACTATGAACTGAATACAAATTAACACTCTGTAGATTCGCGCAACCATTTGGCATAATAAGGACACAAATTAAAAACTTTTTGCAAGCTGTCTATAGCATATACATAATTATTTAAAAATTATAAACAATAAAAATAAAAAGTTTGCTTTTCTAAAAATCGCTACGATCCATCGATTTATATTTTTAAGGCCAATAATTTTAGTCAATAGTCATTTTATTCAGTTCACTACAAAATTCTAATCGTTTTTTATGTAGCATACATACAGGGTGATTCAACATTGGCGTCATTCCTCTGGAGGTGTTGTCTGGCGGTTTTAAGGCGTACAGAAAAAATAGTAAAACAAATTAATTGTTATTAAAAACAGAAATTTGCAAAAAACTATATTAGAAAAACGGCAACAATGTTTTTCAAGGTAATTTGCCTAATTACGTAAATACCTGGTGCTTCGTAATTACGAAAACATACATTTGAGTCTGTAACTCCAAAAAGTGCCTGTGTAATCACCGTATTATGCACTCTTCTCGAATAGCTTCTCGTATTCGATTAATTGCTAATTGCTCGTCGCTATCCACCTGTAACTACCTGTTAATGCCAAAAAACATTATTGCCGATTTGATTTTTCATCAACAAATTGTAGAAGAGAACTTTTTGAATATCAAAAATTTTCCTAATTCGAAGCAAAGATCGTAATTTTCCTTTTTGAATGCTTAAGTATTCCAATATGCTTCCAATTAAACATGGAACACTTTCAAAATAATGCTTAATAAAAAGGTTGAAATTCAATTTTCAACTGTTAATATCTTCTAGAAATTATCGAAAAAAAAATTTGACTATTTTTCTCGTACCTTGCAAGTGAGCCCCTATTACCCCTTTAAAGGAATGAAGTTTGAATCACCCTGTATATTGAACGGTTTCCGGAAAATTGGCATCTGGATATATGGACATTTTGTCTTATTTTTGGTCTAGGCATTATACAAGTTTATCGGCAAGTAATCACGCTGAAAGTCAGATATGTAAAATTTCTAAGAAACGAGGAGACAAATCAGTTTCACTAAAGAAAGAATAATAATGAATTAAAATCGACCCCATAAATTATAATAGATATATCGAATTAATCAACTAACGAATTTTTAATATAATAATAAATTTGATATTAACTTGAAAAAATCGGAACAGAAGTTCTCTACTTTGATTTTTGCAATGTGAAACTCGCAAATTAGCAACATACAACATGCGATGTTTGTTTGATAATATCTTATCACCATAAAAATTCAGGAACATTTTCTAAAAAGAAAGTTAAAGTTCGGTAAAATTCGCTGAATTTTCATATGATTTCAAAACAAAAAAAAACGTAACTTTAATTCGTGTTAAATGTGAAGATGAAAAGAAAGAAAAGGATAAAATAAATTCTTATGGGCAAATTTTTCTTTTGTTGTATATCAATTATTTTAATACATCATCAAAATAATGCAATAGATGTTAAGAGACGTAAATGTTATCAAATGTTTAACAAATAAATTGATAACTGATTAAAATTTTCGATATTTTCAAAAATAAAGTTACTTTACTTTTGGGCAAAACTAATATTTTCTGACAAACAAGTAGAAACAAGAAAAAAATCGGCATCCGATGATTGTATTGTAGATTTTAGAACATACATAACTTTTTATCAAGAGTAAGGTTTTTTTCGCAAAATTAATAATAACAAATTTCTCATATTACTTAAAAATAACAAAACTTGAAGTTGATCATAGTATAACTATAATGAACTTTTCTTACTGAAGATTTTTGGTATTGTCGAAAATAAAAATACGTATCTGACAATTTTTTAGGTTATGAACTAAACAGAATTTTCTTATGAAGAATAAATTTTTTTTGCTAAATTAATAAAGGAAATGTTTCCCATATCATTCATATATATATGGTGCATACTTAAGTAGACATCCTGTATATCTGCAACCGCTTGTGATATTTTAACGAAATTTTGCACATGTTAGTAGCTATCGAGTGGTCTAATTTTTACTGATCTAAAAAATTTTTCGCTCACCAGTGGCGCGCCTACCTACATTACATTCAATATTTTCGAAGAAAAAAACGGTGCGCCACTGATTTATCAAAGAATGAAGAATTTCACCCATTATTTTTGGTTCAATTCCAAGCAAAAACCAACTCTTGAGTTTTCTTCGTAATAGGATCAAATGACTACCTGCTCTCTTAGACCCTGTGTAGAAACACTAAGTAAAATAAGTTATTTATTTCGTTTTCCCATTTCAGGTATGCATCGCAAATCAATCGAGGCGGCCGAACAGCTCAAGGACTCAGAAACGACCAGCGATCATGAAGATACCACTTCGATGCGTACGGATACCAGCGATACCTCCAGCCAAAATAATCAGTCGAATTCCTCATCCCACACCCCCAATCCCAACCCGATGATCGACAGCAAAGAACAGCTGAGTATCGCAGGGGTGGCCGCTTCACAGCCACCCCAACCTGTTCCCAACCCGTATCCAGATGATCCAGAAGTGTTCCGGAACAATTCGATTGCATGTTTGCGGGCGAAAGCTCAGGAACATAGCGCGAAACTGATGAACCACAATTTGATGGTTCATTCGGGTGGGGGTCGGTCGGGTTCGGGGGGTTGTGATGCAAACCAGAACACTTTGCACCATCCTGATGGTGGTGGGGCTGAGCAGGGTATTTTTTGACATAATGAAGGGTAGTGGAGGTTTTTTCAACTTTAATATCCAGGAATGTTTTGAGCTCGGCATGTTTGGGATTAATTTATTTTTGATGAAAAATCAATCAAATTTTCTGCCCGCAAAGTCTTTGTATATAGTATAATCTATAATAATATACATAGTCTGCGTGGTCATTTTGGCATAAAACTAGAACTTCGCCTATGAAAATGTTCTTTTATGTGCAATTTCTGCGCAGTGTCTTGGTGCGAAATACTTTTTGTTATTAGTACTTATATGAATCTGTTTACTGAAATAAACGTCCTGTGTGGTTTGTGAGAGTCTTTGCGCTTTGAAAGTGCGTCAAATTATCATTTTCGCCTGCAAAAGATTAATGTTTTTAACTCATCAAACCTTTTTGGGAGCAAACCCAGCGCTTTTTTTTGCACGCACTTCAGACGCAAATATTTTTTTGGCCTTTGTAGGCACGAGCGATCATTTTATTATGCTTTACATATGCAATTAAAACAAGATGAGCAATATTTTGCACAAATGCCTGTACAATTTCCAATGCAGATGATCCAAAAACATTTTTACATCTTACATTTTAAAATTGCCCATACTTTCTCTGGTGAAAAATCCAATATTCCCATTGAATTATAATAAACTTTGCTACATTTGCCCGTGCAAATATTTAAAATTATTCGAAGAAAAACTCATTTACTTGCGATTTCGTATGCAAAACTGGCAAACGTTTCCACAAAATTAAAGCAAAGTGTTTTTTCCGGCAAAATGCATGGCCAGCATCCACTTTATAATTTTACTCGGAAAACAGATCTAAATTCAGATGTGATCAATCGTGCGATTGGCAAAGGAAACAAGTTTATTTGAGCAATGTAGGTAGCAAAGGCAGTTGACGATACGAAGATTTTGCCCAAAATTGAATAGTTTTTAGAAAATTTTTTCGTCATTGTTCATTCGTGAAAAAATCTAAATCTAATCTAATCTAAAAATTATTATTAGAATTCGATTTTATAACGCGATTTCGTAAAGTCAAAACTTCAGTTATTGATTTAAATTACTGATGTTTTGTCGTATTTATTTAGCCATCTTAAGGGCAATTTTTGTTTGATTTTCGACTAATGACTAAAACAGTTCAACATCAAATTTAGCCGAATGTGTCTAAATCAATTTGGTAAAAAGACAGCAATAAAAGAAACATTATATTCAAAATGTCTCTGTTCTATACAAAAAAGGTAAAAAATCAAATTTCTAAGCGAAATTGCTGCATCAACGTAGCTGGAAATCGGATTTCTTTTCAAAAAATGAACTGGCAGGTTTTCATTTTTTGTGAATTTGCATGTACATTTAAATACATTGTTATAAAATTCTGTGTAAATATTAGTGTAAACTTTGTTGCGTATATAAATCAATCTCAAATAAAAACAATGTTCAGTCGATTTCTTAAAAAAATGGCCTTCTGTTTAAGGTTTAGAAACATAATCATTTTCAAAATTTTTCGAAAGTGCCTTTAGCCAGAAATAAGTTCGGATCTATAAATAAACATGCATAATGAGCAAAATGAAAATAAATTTCCGACTGAGAGGGAGAAAACTAAAAAAAAAAACTTGAATGAATAACTTCAAATATATAATAAATAATAAATGAATTGCTGTAAACTACCATAATGAAATAAGGAAAATGAAAATATATTTGCAACTGAAAAAACATTCCTCACCTGAAAAAACCTTTGAACAAAAAAATGGCAACTTTTGCAGCACGGTTTCAAACTGGCTCACAATGTTTATGAATAGCAAAAAAAAAATTTGGTTAGAATTTAGTCCGCTGAAATACTATTTTTGCATTTAATATACAAATGAAGATTTTTTCGTGGCTTAAACGGGCCAGAATTTTTGTAGTTAGAAGAAATAACCTAAACTTTTTTAAAACAAGAAATTTTTGAGCTATTCATAAACAGTGTGAGCCAGTTTGAAACTGTGCTGCAAAAGTTGGCCATTTTTTTTGTAATAATTTATAGATTTAAAGGATTTTCCAATTGAGAGATGTTTTTCTAGTGGCAAATTTGTTTTTATTTTCCTCATTTAACTTGCTTGCTTGAAAGGTTGCTGTAAGTTTTGAAATTAACTTTTTTATTATTATCCAAGTTTATTGTAGATTCGAATTTATTTCTAGTTAAAAACAAAAGTTAAACAGAAGACTATTTTCTAAAGAAATCGACTGAAATTTGTTTTAATTTGAGATTGATTTATATCGGCAGCAAACAATTTCGGGGTGCCCGAAAATTCTCAAAAAAATATAAATAATGGGATAATTTTTCGTGGTTTAAACGCACTTTTGGAGTTGGAAAAAATAACTTTTTCCTTTCCTAAGAATGTTTCTAGCGCTGGAAATTATTGGTGCGTTTAAGTTGCGAAAAATAATACCATCATTTAAATTTTGTTGTGAATTTTCGGGTACTCCAAAATTGTTTGTTGCCGATATAAATCAATCTCAAATTAAAATAATGGTCAGTCGATTTACTTAAAAAATGGCCTTCTCTTTAAGGATTATAAACTTCCCTAGAAAATACGAATAATGGGATCATTTTTCGTGGCATAAATGGACCAATAACTTTTGGAGTTAGAAAAAATAACTTTCTAAAAATTTTCCTAACTCCGAAAATTATTGGTGCTTTTAAGTCACTAAAAAGTATCCCTTTATTTGCATTTAATAGTTTCATGCAATGATGATTGAAAAAAAAATTGCTTACAGTAGACACTGTGTTCAAATTGAGAATATAAATTAATAAAAAAGAGCAATTTATGTCTACTTCACACCCTAACACGCCTCTGCTCGCTCCTGGATAGGAAAGCTGGTAATTCTTTGGTGTTCCTTAATTGTTTTAGAATTATTTCCTAAAAGAATGAGCGGTTTTATGAATTCGGCAAATATAGTTTATTCTATAAGGATATTGTACGTATTGTAAATGTTGTCAATCCCCTTAAATTATCCTAAAAATTTCCCCGATAAAGTGCAACGAATCTGTGAAGCACTTTTATATATAGTAATTTATTTATGCACAGTTAAAATTCTAAGTTTTAGTCCCATAGATTTGTTAATTAAATGTTAGGAAAAGAATCAAAGTTTATGAAAACAGTTACGTATTATTTTGCAATATACTGGATGGCAAATAATAAAGTTACGCAGGAGTTTTTAAAACGAAAACCAATTTTAGTCTCTGCAAAAAGAAGCAATTGGTAAATATAGTTTGTATTATTTTAATTGCTGATTAATATAGTAGAATTAAATGTTGTCACATAAACCTGGAACAAAGAGGTTTTTATTTTTTGCCTCAAAAACGTAGTAAGATAGAAATAAGCACCAAAGGATGACAAAAAAGTTTTATCGAAAGGTGATTATTCCGACAAAATAGAAAAATTTTTAAAATAACTAAACGGCGTAGGTACATTTTTTTGCCAAAAGTATTGGACAAGTTGTCTTCCTGCACGCCACTGGGGTTAACATTTTTAGTCTATTTAGGGCAATTATGATAATGAAGGTATTTAAAAAAAAACGTTTTTTTATTTACTTCAATGTCATGTATATTGAGTATTCACTTCAAAAAATTTGGCCACGTAATTAGATAACGCTGTAGAAATATTCGCTTAATAGTCGGCAAAAAGGTGAAAATATCTTAAATTTCATGTCTCAAATAGCATCAAAATAAAATATAAATTGGAATTTGTGATTCAAATATGATAACAACTTGCCTTCAACAGCAATTGTTTGACAAAAAACTTTATGTAAATATGCATCGGGTTTGTATATAAAACTTTATTGTATACAACTGTTTTTTCCAGAAATTTTTCTTGGGTTTTAAAATAAACAGTCGACATTCTTTTCAAATTTACTTGCTGAAAATAAAAACATGACTTGAACATGAAACGTTTAGCTCACATACAATCAGAAAGTATGTTGATTTATTTTAATGTAGTTGAACTACAAATACAAAGCGCACTTTCAATTAAAACAATAACCGGAAAATACTTACTTCAGTTGCCAATTACTTCCACATGAGGAATTTGAGAGGAAAATTAGAAATACAATGTTTCCCTGAAAAACTGCCTTTAGTATAACGAATAGGTAACAACAGCGAAATGAATATAAAGGAGTATCAAGGAGAAACTTCATTCTCAGAAAAAGAGGGGACTGTTTAAGCAAATACATGAAAACAGACTTGAAAAATCTAAAACAGTTTTAAATAAACAACAATTTAGCAGAATCTGGTTCTGTTTTTCCTTACATTGAAAACATTTTCTTGTACTGAACATGTACGTGTCAAGCAAACTCTTATTCCTGGTTCAAACGCCATTAAAGAAACGCGACTGACCTCAAACACGTTTAGTTAGGCAAATAACTCATGCAATAACAGTTAATTAAACATTTCAGTTAGTTATCAGGCGAACTTCTTGTAAATGAGTAAATTTATTTTAGCTTGCTCGCTTGCTAATACTGTTGACTAGGAATAAATCAGACTTCTTCGCATTGATAAAGCTTTCGAAATTTCCCTCAGGCAGATGAAGCAGCTGGGCAACAAACCATTATTATAAGCCCTCTATTTTTAGAATGAGTTTTTATACCTGCATATTAAGCTGGGACGGAGCTAGGGTGAGAGCGGCCATTTGTCTTGTCAGCCAACTTTACCAGTTAAATCTCAAATTATCGCCACTTGAAAATAACGTAAATGTACCAATAAAGCAATTTTTTAATTAGTTTATTGCAGAGTTTTGTAACAAATTATTTTGCGCAATCAGGGTTACGTAAATAATGTTATGATCCAGAAAAGCTACTTAGGGCTTTGATTCTTTTCCTTCAAGGGTAGCTAATCGCTTACAAAAGCTGGTGTTTCGAGGTCACTTTGAAACTGTATTAAGCTCGTGACGAACGCAAGAGATTATTTTGGTCAATGTTTGTAAATGGCCCCAAAACTTTATCGCAGCCAAGTTTAATGATCTCCAGCCTTCATTGTACGTCTAGGAATTATGATGGTTTTTCTCCAACCTTAAGCCTGATATTATCAACTATAGTTGACCAAAAGAATAACTTGCTTAAAGGAAACAGGATATTGCCAGTACGCACCTACAGCTTGTGAATTTGACCTTTGTTTGTCATTGTGATTAAAATAGCACTCAATGCCATTGTCCCGTATGTGTTAAATACAGCATTTTGATATTTTCAACCATATTGGATGGAGAATGATTCCTCCTTTTTCCGAACATAACATCGAACTGATCAGGAACCAAGCAGTTTGATTGCAATTTTTCATCATTGATCTACCTATATAGTTGTATGTAGTTGTAAAAATCGATTTGCCGTAATTTGCCTACTTTCAGTGCAATAAATTTCTAGCGTAATCTAATCGGCAACAATTAGTATCGTTGGTGTGTAAATAAAATGTAATTTTTAATACTGAGTAATTTAGAGAAGCGATAATATTCTTGCTGATTAGAAGCTATTCCTAGTATAGGAATGTATGTATTAAGTACGACATTTTGTGTAGTAGATACCTAGACAGTCACTAGATTTTCATATAAGCAGCAATTTTTGGAATTTAGTTGATTTGTAGTCAATGCGAACGTCTAACAAAACATAATCAATACTTTGATTGAATTTGTTAGTAGTATGTTCATACAGTGCTATTTGAATTAGTGAATTTGCAGGCATTGTTTGAAACTGATGAGCTTTTCCATCTTTTATACCAGAAAATTTTGGAAATTTGGAAATTATTTTCCACGGTGATCTAAAATTATTTCACTTTCAAAAACGATGAAACTATTAGAAATGAGAATGAAGCTTAAACGCGACAATTTCGCAGTTTCTTATTTTTTGTTTGCTGATCTTTTGCTCTCCTTGTGGGTTTGTGCGGCTTCAAAACGTTTGTGCGGTCTCTAAAACTGTACGGTTTAGTCGTTTCAATAATCTAGTTATTGCTCTAAAGGGAAACAGCCAATTGTCAAAGTTTTAAATATTTCGCCGAACGAAAATGTTCCATTTTTAAAGTAATTTCTTGAAGTTTGTTTAATTATTTTAGGTCTACCACGTTATGCTTTTAACGATTTTCTCGTATAATAAATCAGCAGCCTTAGAGAGGAGATTTTGATACTTCGATAAAAGAAAATGTGAAGGAGGATAATATGAAAGAGATAAAAATGCGCAAAAGCTGCCTGTTTCTAAAATAAGTCATCTGAGATCTTAAAACAAGACAAATTTTAAAATTTTTTTAAACACAAAGCGTTGCTTAATTGATGACTAAATCGTTAATTTTGTTTTTTCTGTGTTTTTCTGTGCTACTTCAAAGTCATGCTTAATAATTTTAAAGTTTGTTTAAACTTTCATATAACCACAAAGGCTGAAATGTTCCTTGAAACTTTATTATTATAAAATATCATCAGCTCATTACCTTAAGTCTCTTGAGATTTTGCTAAATATTTTTCGGTGACTAAAGATTATGGGCCGAGAAGCTTATAGAGTAGAACGTCGATAATCCCGAGCCAAACGAACATTTGAGTTCATAGCAAGAAGAAATCTTGCTAAAACCGTTCATAATTTAGTTTGGTAATTAAATAATTCATGGAGATATAAATCATAAGCTAAAATGATCGTTTTATTGAAAAAATAAAATATATGCTGCTTATCTTTCCTCGAAATTCTGTGAACATTGTCACAGTCTTTGTAGTAGTATCTTTATGCTTCTCACGGTATTTTGTTACGCCAGCAAAAAATGCATTCTTGTACCAATCAAGAAGAATGACCACGTGCTATTTGCGACGTAAAGGAATCCATTTTTTATACAAGTTTGTGTAATGAAATAAATCTGATGTATGTAATCAATACATTTTTTTTCAAAGCAATCGAATTCGGATTATCGACAGTTCAAATTTGTACTACTGTAGTTTGAATCATTTTGTTTATATAAAAAATTGAGATTCTGGCAATATTAAAAAATCAAAAAACCACCCGAAAGGTTGAAGTAGCACACAAAAATGGGAAATAACAACGAAAGTTTTTCGAAAATGTACCTATGTCTTATATTCTGAACTTTAAACTAAATATATTATTATTATTTGCAAATTATAAAACCTAAAACACGTGCACACCATTTTGAGACTAAATAGATTATATGAGATCACAATCCAATTCGTATGTTAAGAACGGAGTTTAAAATGCTCTAAAACATTTTTTCTGTCATCTGTTTTGCTTTACAGTGTTTTCATATTAAAGTTGAATAAATGAAAATAACTGAGACTGTGACTATGAATTTGTAACTTAACTTGAAAATAAACAATTACACAGTAACATTTATTTAAATGACTGGAATTTGTATAAAAACGAAAGATAATCAAATCATTGTTTTACTAGTTAGTTTTGTTATTTGCTCTGATGAAAATAATATAGAATTCAAAATAATGCTTCAAATAAAGCAAACTTAAATTAATTTTCCAAAATGTTCAACACTGGCAACTACACAGAACTAACCTGTTTAAGTGAGTAAAAATATTCAATTTCATTTTAATTTATTGTAACCCATTTTTAATTTAAATAATGAATACAATTATCCGATTGCTATAAAATTTGCTCTTCACCAGCACTTTTCTCCAAACATGTGCTCTCTTTCTTTTGACCCTGCATCGAAAAATTTGCTGCATTTAGGTCAGGAAATCGTGGGGGTCAATTTCCAGTTGTTTCGTTTTTTCGACAATTTTCTAAGTTTCAATTTGAAATAAACTTGAAATTTACAATAAAAATTAGGAGTTTTTTGCACCTTTTCAAAACAACCCTATATGGCGTCTGGAATATTCTCTAATATTACTATCTTTTTGATTTGATTTTTATTTACACTACTTTGCTAATTGCTATTACCAAATTACATAACTTTGCATTTAAGGCTCTGCAAGCAAATAATTACATAATAAAACTGATTTTATTGAAATTCGGTTCCTTATCGTACTCCCAGAAATATGAATTGATCATAAACGATTGCTCAAATACGTACAAATGTTTTAAAACACAAAACAAGCGATTCCTGTTTTCTAGTATTTTGCAATAAAATTAAAACGCATTTTTTTAAATGTTGATCGCCCTGCAAAATGTATCGCTTCTTTTCACGAGAAAACTAATGGTTTCAGCGATATATATTTTTGAATAGTTGGGTGGTCAATGGTCACAGTATTTTTTACTTGTGCATAATGCTTACTTTGCTAATAATTTCCATTTCCAGCTTCGAAACGAGATATTCTACAGTTCAGATTAAGTTTTCTTTACATAGCTGAAACCCCTTAAAGAATCGGTTTATACATTTTTTTATTATTGTGTTTATTTGTGGTTTGGGTTAGTTGAACATTTGATTTAACATACATTTTCTAGTAGTTGGGCACCAAATATTTTCTTTAAAATGTGTTCTTGACGCACAGTGTATTTTTTTTAAATCTTGCCTTCTACTTCGTAGTAAAAATTCATAACTTTCAGCCCTAATGTGTTTATTTTTGCGAATAAACAATGTTTCTCATAAGGGTGTATGCCAAACCGAACATTTTCTTTACAGAGATACTCTATGAAAAACGTAAGCTGATGCGTTTTTTTTGGAAAAATTGATTGTGCAACCCGCAATAGTATTTTTAATTATTGAACCAGTAAATTTGCCCTAACACCAACTATTTTTTATTAATTTACTCAAATAAAATATAATTACTTACTTCATTAACTAGCGAATTCGGAATTAGTTGATTCATGGGGCTTTCACATTTCAATCAAAATAAAACAACATGCAAACTTTAGTCGATATACATAATAGGCTTTTGTGTTTTATGCGCACGAGACAAACGAATAAAACAATGAATAAAATACAAAGTTCACAAGCACGAAAATAAGTCGCGTATTTGAAACGGAACAAATTCTGCTTAGTAGTTTTTTGTGTTTTCCGGAGCACAGATTTTCTACTTTTGTGTAAATCTCATTCCATTATTCCTAAGAAAATTTGTGTAAAAAAATTAGATTTAAGATGCATCGACCTAAAAGTTGTACGATGTTAAAAAGTGCAAAGAAAATGACGTTACGAATTTTGAAACCTTACTATTAGTCGTAGATGCTCGTATTAAAATGTAGATAAAATCGTACTTAACTTGTACAAAATAACTATTTGATTTAAGTGACAATTTTAAATATTTGCAATAAATGTGTAATTCAAATAATATGTATGTAATAAATATATATCTATTAATGCCTTGAATGTATTTTATTTACTTTTTTCTATATTGCAGGCAAGATTAAAATATTTATCTATATTTACCTTCCAATACATTTACTGTGTTGAATAAATTCTCTAGAAGTGATGTGCATTCGGGTTTTGACCGAAAATATGAAAGGAGAATCATATACTGCTGTATTATGACATATTTTTTCAGCTTTGCGCTTTAACACGCAAAGTAGAAGGTCTATACACATAGGTTGTATTTCATTTAAAGTGAAGAAGTAATTATTAAAAATTTCAACTGAAAATCGGTTGAAATTTGGAGAAATTTAAAGCGACATTGAAAGTTTGTTATAAATAATAAATTCGGAATTTGTTACTGATTAGTTAGTTACCATCAGAATGATTAGTAAAGTTCCGAAAAGCGTACCTACCAGGAAATCAAGCCAGAACATAGAATTTTTCCAGTTATAAAAGCATCTGGAGGTATGAAAAGTGCAAAAACTTTGCTGATGAGATCAAATAACTTCAAGCTAAATGCGATAACTTGAATTAATTGCGAAAATTAAAATGAATCGCTATTCTCAAATAATAATAAACAAAAGGTTTGCTTAAAGCAACAACGACCTCTGAAGATGCAAGCCACTCGAACATGCGAAACGTCGAAAATAATTTTTTTTTCACGGCCGCGGTGCCCTTAAAGTCCGAGAAACTAACCAATGACTGCAAAAACTTCATTTTTTTGTTAAACGAACGTTCTATGTTTAAAATGATTTACCTATATTCAAACGTATAAGTTTGAGATTAAAATGGACGATTTAGCTCCAAAAAGTTTTCAATGTAAATTTGTTCATTATTTACGCAAATATTTGGCATTTGGAATTCCAAATATTTGGAATGTGCTTATTTAATGTACGTTTCTACTTAGGACTAATTATGGCGTGCCGCCAG